GGCTAAACTCCATGCTTGCTCACACCTCTGGCCACTCAACACCTGTTTCTCAGTCTCTCTTGGAGGCACAGGATTCAGGCTGCTAGTGTGAACTGAGCACAGCCTGCCAGGCCGAGTGGGTGGAACAAGCCCAGCACACCTAAGCAAAACTCAGGCAAACATGCCACCAGCCACAGGTTTTCAAGAAAAGCAACACCCCAAAGATTTCATAACATTATCATTCATTTGGAGATTTTATTTTCATGATTTTATACTCCAAGCTAGTTTCTACATTGATCATGGTATCTAAGGCCCAGCAGCAAGAAAGCAAAAGTACAAAAATATTCTCATTACCAGCACATTCTCCAACAATGTTAGCCTTTATGTCACTGAATGTACCTGTAGGAAGCATGAGGTAATATTTGTTATTACAGGCAACGACTTCCCACCAAGTGTTCATGCTTTTTAAGTATTTCATCATATCTAGGACTGAGGGAGCAACTTTTCCAGCTTGTGATTGCCCACAATGTCCCAAAACATCCTACCCAACATAAAAAATGCTCCCCAATATGTCTAGGGTTCACAAAACCTTCCTTTATGAATCTAACCCGTAATACTTATTTTATAATCCATGCTGTGTTCTCTAAATCATTATTTAAAAAATAAAAATGGTTTTTTCATTTCAATCTTCCATAATCTTTCCTGCCTTCCCGTTTCTGCAAAAAAAAAATTATCATCACTATTTTTTAGGTACTTAGGGTACAAAGTTATTAGTTATATAGATAGGCATATATATTGTATAAAATATATTTTTGCTTTGAAATTAGTTATGGTTCAGTGGCTAAGTACACCCCCAAACAAATCTCATATTTCACTTTCTAGTCTATTTTCTTCTAGGAGCAAGAAATAAAACTCAGAAATATATGAGACACTTTGAAAAAAACATATTCAGTCAGTAACACTGATTTGTACCCAAATTTAAAATTAGAGTTAACACAATGAAGGAGAGGGAAAGTGAAGTTACCAAACCAGAAAACAATGTTTTATTGATAGCTTCTTTTTTGGTATGTCATTTTATGCTTTATCAGTATATCTTTATTCATAATGTAGATTATGGTAGTATTCACAACTAAATAGTTTATCCTTTATATAGTTCAGAAAATAATATCCAACTTAGTTCAAAATGTTTATATATTCATAGGGATAGGTGGCTGAAATAAAGAGATTATCCAAATTATAGCAGGGAAAGGACTGTGCAGTAATTCTTCTCTACTTGCAACAATATGGTAATGAGATTAATGAAATAATACGATAAATCACTAATGATTTGCCAAGGAATGTTGCAGAACTAAAATGAATTCCAAACAGACTCATCATGTAAAAACGAATATAGTTTTATTATTGTATAATGACCTTCATTATAACTTTCAGTTGTAAAGTATTGACAGGTAATATTTTCTATTACTTTATGATATTTGACACATAAATTTGCTTTTCTTCTTTCCTGATAGAAAGAATTACTCAGTTTCTAGGACCCACAAAGTAAAGAAAATCTCTCTCCTGAAAAAATGAAAAGAACAAACAGATAAAACTAAACCCTCTGGTCATGTTACTCAGATGCTTCCTTTTAGGAATTTATCTAGGCATACGTAATGGTATTTATTCAAATATTTTAGCTCAATAAGCAAATACTAATGTAAATGCAAATACTGCTATAGTTGTCATTTTTCTGAGAACTCTAGGCACAGTATCCTTAGAAACATAATTAAAATTTGCATATTCTTATTAAACTATTTGAAGAAAATCATTTGGTGGCTCTCAAAATAGAACTTTGTTTTCAGAAATAGTTTACGAATGTCATTTAATACATCCCCAAGGCTTCAAAAAGAAAATGTCAAGGAACCTCCTGCAGGACACATTCCTAAAATTCCCATGTGTCAGCTTGGTTTTGCAAAGCATGTTTTAAAATGGAGAACATGACATTCACAATTGGAAATCAACAACAGGACCTGGGAATATCTGCATTGGATAACTCTGTGTGTGTGTGTGTGTGTGTGTGTGTGTGTGTGTGTGTGTGTTCACATGCATTTGTATGTGCACAAAACGTATATTGGTCAAGGGGGCCACTTATGAGCTGAAGACAACTGAAAGCAAGGTCAGTGACTTTATGTTGTTACCTGTGTACACACTCAGGGCTAATTGCAATATTGCAAAGTACAATACCTGTTAAAAATTGACACCTGATTTGAAAGTTAATGAAAGAAGAAAGAAAGAAAGAGAGAGAGAGGAAGGAAGGAAGGAAGGAAGGAAGGAAGGAAGGAAGGAAGGAAGGAAGGAAGGAAGGAAGGAAGGAAGAAGGGAGGGAGGGAGGGAGGGAGGGAGGGAGGAAGGGAAAGAGAAAGAAAGGAAGGCAGAGGGGTAGTAAGTGAGCACAATAAGAGGTAAACTTCTTTTCAAGGTGGTTTCAAATTCCCAATCTTTATCCAGAAAAAGTTGCTTAATGCAGCAAACTAGAGGGTTGTGGCTGGTAACCTGGTCAGCAGAAAAGTAGCACTGGTATAAAAGAAACATAAATATAGTGTCATTTAGGATTTAAAGTGTGAAAAGCAACTATTTTATCTGTAGCTAAGAAAAAATATAGCCTAGTAAGATGGTTTTCCCCAATGTATTCTCTTATTGCACAGTGGAAAAACAGCATCATACATACAAAGAGAGAGGGAGCTTTGTTACTGCTTCACTTTTTCCACAAAAGTAAAAAGAAGGAAACAAAGTGATAAGAGGTTCTGTTCAGCACTCTCTGAGAGTTCCTGTGAGTTTACAAAGCAAACAGGTGTGTATATTTAGCCCAGTTGACAATTTAGGCAAACATGTAGCTATTAGTACATTTACGAAGTGGCCCCTTGCTATATTTCCTAAACATCACATAGGCACAATTTAACTGAATTCTAAAAACAAAATATATGGAGAACTTTTAATTAGTTAAAAAGAGGGTAAAAAGGGAGGGAAAACCCACGATATTTTAGAAAATAGTATAGACAAAGGAATTAACCAATAAGTTTTACAAAATTTTAAATGTGAAAACTGATCCACGAGAAAATCAGACAAGTTAATGAAGATGACTTTAAGCAATTATAGAAATTCTACATATAAATAAACTTAGGGTTTCTCCAACTCCATGATGCGTCATACTGTTCAGTTTGCAAAGTAATTTTGTGTACTGTACTCTGGAAAAGTCCAAAGAATGACTATTCAAGACATTGACGTATGAGTTATGAGTTCAAGATATTGAGCCAGAGTTATGTAATGACTATCCTTGCTTTGTGAATATTTAAAAAGATATAGAAAAGAAATATGAACAATTTTGTCTGATTTTCTAGTCAAATATTACTAAAGAGAGAAAAAGAAGTTATTCATTGGCAATGCCGGAAGAACAACCAGAATGCCCTTAGCTGATGTACAGTAGTCCCGTTCAGTATAAATATAATGCAAGCAACAATCATTTTTTTAAAAATTTCCAGTAACCATTTTGAAAAAGTAAAGAGATATGTGAAATAAATTTAAATGATATATTTCATTAAATCAAATATATTGAAAATATTGTTATATTTTTTATAACATTTTATTTCACCATGAAGTAAATGTATATTAGTTTCAAAACTGTCTGTCCAAGTAATATCACTAACACTTGTGCCAACTCAGTATTATTAACATTGAATTCAAAGGAGATTAAATTGAATAAAATTCTAAATGTATTAAAATCAATAAATGGTCTTCAAGTTTTTCCTATAGATTTCTCAGTCAATTTATGTAACTCTATTTGGTTACCATTTAAATCTTCTGCATATAAATTTATAGTAGAAATAATCTTTATTATTTGGTTTGTATTTGGAAAATTTGAATGTCAACATAAATTCTTATAACAATCTAAGTGGTGACAGACGAGCTTTTCCATTCATTGAAGTGCCAAATTTAGCTTTTTTATATGTAGTGTGACACCAATGAGAGAATGTAAGTCATGCTGGAATTATCTTTTTGTCTATGATTATTGGATATTTGGCAATAATTTCTTTCGTTGTAATATAAATGTTGAAATGAAAACAATAGCCAGTAATTTATTGCAAAACATTTCCATAGTTCAATCAACAAGTATTGGCTTATTGGTAGTCTTGACACTTTCTGAGGATCTGCTTCAGAAAACTGAGCACCAACATTTTAATATCTATCACATGGTAGAATGGAGCAATAAAAGAAGCATCCATCTCTTGTTCTAAAAGTCCAATAAATTTGGATTATTCTTAACATAACTAGGACACTGTCCTTCATAATAGAACGAATTTATTTTTCAAGTCCAGGTAAAATACTTTTTTGTTAGGTGTAGAAGATTCCACAAATTTGAGTTGTAAGCTGCAAATTAATGTTTCACAAAATATTTGTAAGTCCTCTAAGACAAAATACAACCAAAATATTCAGTGAGTCATGTCTCTTATATGGCATTACTCATTAGATATTTGCAATATTTTAAATTGTTGGAGCAATGATCTTCATATTTTAGAAAGATTTTATATCTCATAAGCAAATGTTATTGATGGCTTAACTGAAGATCTTTCACTTCTTAAAAAAAAAAATCTCAATTTTAGTCTTTTACTTAAAATTGTGTTAAAAAAAAAAAAAAAAAACTTTTGTAAAGAAATAATTTGCCGTCTCTTTACCTAAAAGCGTGTGTGAGTTTGTGTGTATGTACTCATGCAAGAATTAGTTGGCCAGAGTTGAAATATCAGATCCTGTTGCAACCATTTAAAATCTCTTGTTACACATTTAATTTTTATTTTCTTTTAATACTTTCATTCTTTTTTACTGTTAAGATAAAATATAGCAGATTCACTATTTGCTGAAAATTACTCCAATTGCCTACTTCACTACTATTCTTTTTTTCATTAAAAAACAGCTTTTACATTTTGTTCTGTAGCAAACCAAATTGCCACTTATTATGAAATCTATTACATACCTCCTACCAGAGTCTTTTTCATTTTTTTTTTCCAACTGGAGGCAGTCTCAGCATCTCCATTTAATTCTGCTTCAGTATTGCATTATTATTCTAAATTCACTGTAATTGTGCAAATAATTCAATTATACTATAATTAAAATAAAACTAGGTATTTTAATTTTATAACTGCTTTTGATTTACCTAAGTATCGTTAGTATCATTACAACTGTCTGCGTAAGATACTCAATTAAACATATTACAATGTTACATTATGTAGAAATAATCATTTAAACAGAATCAATCTGTTGATACCAACTTGATTAACTGTGTGTTCATGTGTAATACAAAAAAAATGATACATGTAGCCAAATGTACACTATAAAAGAACATAAATGTTTTATGTAATGCAATGGATAAATTAAAAGGTAGTCTTACCAAAACTATAGCTATGTTTAAAGGAAAAAGTATGTTTCATTGCTTCATTTTTCACATTTCAATGTATTAAAGCAACATAAAATTTAAAAATATATATCTCAAGTTAAGTAATTACATCTCAAATGTTGTACAGCCATATGTGACTAGTGACCACTGTATTGGACAGCACAGATATAGAGTCTTAACAGAATACATAAAATATAATTATCATTTTCTAAACCTACAAATTAACAAAAAGCACATATTTAGTAAGTTAAAAATATTAATCAAATGAGATAAACATGTTTGCTTTTAGTCAACATTTACCCTCATTTGGAGGCAGAGAAATTTTAGGGATTATTTGACTTTTGCATAGGTACTTTGGAAAAGTTTTATAATACTATTTTACTGTAAATGAATTTACATTTGTTGAAATGATTAATACATTCTTAACTATATATCACAAAGCAATATAGTTATTGTTCCTATTTTACTGTTTCTTACTATTTAACACAGCTCAAATTTTTCTTCCTCTGAAGCAGATTAACCTGCAGTTAAGTTTATATCAAACCTCTACATCAAAATAGCCTTTACCAAATGTCCTCTAATGGCTAAAACAATTTTAATTACTTCTAGTAACATAGGAATGACATATTTATTGAACCTCTATCAACACTAATATTTTTTAATCTTTTCAAAATTGATAAAATGAAATAATGTCTCCATTATGCAGTTTTGCCTTTTATGCAGAATTTTAAGTTATATACATATATATGCATGCGTGTATGTGTGTGTGCCTGTGTGTGTGTTTGTGTGTAGGGGGAGGGCGTATTTTTGGGGGAAGGGTATTGAGTCTTCTTCTGTCGCCCAGGTCGGAGTGCAATGGTGTGATTTCAATTTACTGCAGCCTCTGCCTCCCAGGTTCAAGCCTCAGCCTCCCTAGGAGCCAGTATTACATGAGCTCACCATCATGTCTGGCTAATTTTTGTATTTTTAGTAGAAACAGACTTTCACCATGTTGGCCAGGCTGGTCTTAAACTCCTGATGTCAGGTGATCTGCCTGCCTCAGACTATCAAAGTGCTGGGATTATAGGTGTGAACCACTACGCCCGTCCTATATTATTGTTAATATTGAAATGTTCAGCCTTTTTTTATCTTCTCTTTAGATTATATTAGATTATTTTTACTGTGTTTTGTGTCTATTTCCTATTTATAATTTTTATTGTCTTTTACAAATTGAAAGGGAGATTGATATTTTTGTTTTTCTAGCAACTAAGAGTTCTTTACAATTTTAACTTTTTCTGACTAGTAATATATCACTGTTTAATTAAAACTATATAAGATAAAATTTATTTTTAATAGTCTTAATCTTTCATATAATTTTGTAAAAAATGATCATGATGACAAATGCATTCATGTATTCATCCATAACAACTAAAAGGAAATACAATAAATGGCTCCAGTGAACTTCTGTAGATGTCCAGTGTCCTAGTCAAGACCCTTTTTGTTTTAAGTGATAACAAACGCTCTTTAACTTGCTTAAGCCAAAAACAAAACAAACAAACCAAAAGGTAAAGGGATGAGGGAGAGTGAGCTTCATTACTGATATAGCTCAAAATTTCATTTATGTCATCTGTGCACAGTTCTCTTCTGTCCCCATTGATTTCATTTTCAAACACTTTATGTTGGGCCTGCACAAGGGTCTGTTCAAGTTGTTCAAGGACATTATCAAAAGAAAACACCTGTGTCTCAGTATTTCCAGCAAAAGTCCTGAACTTGACCTTTGTTCCACTTAGGTCACCTGCTTATTATTAAATAAATCAATATGCATGTGGGAAACTATTAAACTTGATGTGCTTAAGCTGGGTGAAATATTTATTCCTTTACCATATGAAATGAGAAGTGGAAAGTAATGATTTCCTATGGGAAAATCACTGAACTGTTCCTATATTGAAAGTCAAGAGGACTGGCCACTGTCAGAAAATCAACTGAACAGCAGTGTATGCCCTACAATGAGATTATAGATATATTTTAATTAATTATGCTTTGGGTACTACACAAATTATTTAGCCTGACATGATGGCTCATGCCTGTTGTTTCAGTAGTTTGAGAGACTCAGGCAGAACGATCACTTAAGCATGAGAATCAGAGGCTGCAGTGACCCATTTTTGGACCACTGAACTCCAGCCTGCCTGACAGAGCAAGGCTCTGTCTCAAAGACAAATAATCAAACAAATTATTTAAATTGTACACAAATAAATTTAAAGGCATAAAAATTTGTAAATGAAGAAATATTAGTAAATATGTCACATATGTTACATATGTTGAAAAGAAAATACTCCATAAAAATAGATACATTTGTGTACATTAAAGATCAGTGTTTCCTAAGTTCTCTCATTTTTTGATAAAAATCTACATTACTGTATTAAATATAAATCATTAAATTACCTATATGATTTTAGAGTATATTGGTAGAGGTAGTTTTATAAATTAGGCTATGTAGAAAGCTGGACATTAATCAAAGCACCTTAGCTTTTTTTTTCTTTTTTTAAAAAAGGTAGACAATCTCTATGGGATATGTATATTTTCCTCTTTGGCTTGGGTATGTCCGAAGGCTTTATTTCAAGCTAATGCCTGATTTCATAAGGGAAGGGAATTCATTTCTAAATTGCACTAACTTCCCAACTGTATAATCAAAAAACACCTAAAGAATGTAACTTTGATGACAAGGTTTTACAATAATTATTTACTATTGTGTGCTATTATTCTTCTAAAATTGCTACCCTGAAAAGATATCAAAAATCAAATAGTAAAGATTTAAATGGAAGTAATCTCAAGACTGTAAACATACACATATATTTCATGAAAGCGTTTTTAAATCTATCATTACAACTTATGAACAAATAAACATTCCAAGTTTATTCTTTCAATTTATGAAACTTTCATTAGTTCAATAATATATTGCCTTAGAAACATTTTAATTATTCATGTGTATTATTGCAAAAACTTTTCCTAAAACTTGAAATTTTGTTATTAAAATGACCTCAAATTCAGATAATAATGTAATAGTTAATTAAGGATATGCTGTCAATGTCATATATATAACCATGCATAAGTCATCTCTACAATATTTTTTATTTCTTGATATGTTACCTGATTTCTCTTTATCAGCATTATTTTTTGAATCAAATTTATCAGTTTCTGAGTAGAAACCATTTAATATAGGTATATGGTATTAAAATAATTCCAAAAGGATATGAGGAGTAGGGTAGCTTTCTTTGTGTTTTTGAGACCACTTAGGTATTGTGACGGTAAGAAAAGATGCTCACTTCACCAACTAGAGCAGAGATCTGTTTCTATTAATGGAACACAGCCATGCTCATTTGCTTATGCATTGTCTGTGCAGAGTTGAGTACTTGCAGCAGAGACTATATGGTCAACAAAGCCAAAGTTGTATCTGTCTCTTTACAGAATTAAAAATTTAAAATTTGCCAATGCCTCAGTTAGAATGTCCCTTTACTTCTATTCCATGAATGGAATGGATATCATTGATATTTTCTAAATCAAACCCTGAGTATTCTAAGGTGATTAAATGGCAAATTACATTAATTAATTTTACCCTATATAGCTTTCATTAAACAACAAAAAAATTAAGTAGCAAGGAAAACATAGATGCCAAACAGAATCTGGTAGCTTTAGTGAATATAAGATTGCTTAGTATCAGTCGTATTTAACCAGTAATTGGAAGATGCATTTCTAGTATTCTTGCCTTCCCCTATATTAGGCATTTGAAATTTAGTGGATGCATTATTTCTGAAACATTTCTTCATCTATAAAATGGAAATAATGCCAGTGATCCCTTTCTCAACAGGTACTGTAATAATCAAATAAATGGCAATGTCTAAAGTTCCATACAGATATGGAGTAGCTGCTGCTTCTAATTATATATACAGTATAGACATGTTATGTGTTGTGGACAAAAATTTTTACACTGGAAAATGAATTAAACCTATTTAAGAATGATCCAAATTCAGAGTACAATATAAGAACATTCAGAACCTTTAGGCTTATTAACTCTCATTGAGGCAAACAATATTTTCTATATTTCCATATATTGACAGACATGCCATGTATGTATATCCTATAGTCTTTGAGTTCCCCATGGAGAGACTGCTTTGCAAAATAGTGACATTCATCTTTCAAGTGAGTTACTAATACCCAGAGCAGGTAGCTCCTAAAATAATATAAATAATCTAACCCCAATGATTCTATCTATATTGAATCTAAGATGTTAATCTTGGCTTTGCCATTCTCTATTGTCTCAGGTCCAGAATAAATGTTTTGTTTAAGCCCGAATTCTACTTCTGTTCTTTCACTCTGATTTCAATCGCCTGTCCTGTGTCCTCATGTCTGATTAGATATCCCCTATCTTGGATTGGCCCTATATAGGCATAATATTCACCAACCGCTCATTCTGTACTCATTGTTCTCTATGGTAATAACTTTAGATGTAGACATAGAAATTGACATGTAAATATTTACACAGCTATAGATACAGATTCTATCTTTGCTTCATCAGCTCGTCCCAGCTTCAGGTTTGGCTTGTCCTGCTCTTCCTTCATTTTCTGTTTTTAATAACCTGACATCAAATGTGACCTTCCTCATGACACTGAGTCAAGAGTTTTATGGCCTAATGATTTTTATGTACCTTAAATAAGTGATTTCATTCAATTTTCACTTACTCCAAATGTGAACTTTAAAATATACTTTCCAATAAGTCCGTTTTTAAAGGTTTGACTTAGGTCCCATTTCCCCATCCATAAATAGGTCCTTTTGTGTAATGATGGACAGCCTAAAATTCAAGTTAGAAAAATGGGTGATGTGAGCTGATTTTATATTCCTATTCTGTAGTAACCCTTGTTTACAGGGCCCCTTACTATATTACATTGGTATAACTCATAAAAACGGGTTATAGCCTTAGAAATCAAAAAGGAGGGAAAAATAGAAATTAGTGCTCTGGAAAAATTAATGATGCCATAAGAACTTCTAAGTAAAACCAAGCTGCCCACTAAACAAAGTACTAGATTATAACTGAATAATCATTTCCTGAAAATTTTTCTGTATAAATATTAAATCTAAAGAAACCATGTTATTGTTTATAAATAGGAAGCAAATATTTTAGTAAGGTAATTAGGACTCTGATTGTAATTCCAGTGAAGGATAATTGTCTATAGCTTATGTGAAATAAAACCTTATTTTGATGGTGACAACCATCATTAAAATTTAAGAACACTGGAAAAGATAAAAAGCACTAAGGGGCTAGATATGTTAGGTTTGCCTTCTTCTAAGAGCTTGTGTGGGTTGGCTGTAAAACACCTAAGAATCCACTTTTATAACTCATAAAATGGTGATTTTTGTTTGTTTATTTTAGAGAGAATCCTAAACATAGTATTAGCTGAATTTAGTAGAAAAAGAAGCACATAAATATGAAGTTAATTAATTCAGCAATGAGTACTATGGATTCATAAACTGATGAATTAATACATTTTATTTCCTTTCTTCAGATAATTAAATAATGCAGTATCAATACTTCCTCCCAAATAATACAACTTAAAATATTTCTCAGAAGATTCTATGCATACGTTTTCTTTCTGCTAAAATTATTTTTATAATGCTTTGATAAATATCTTTCTATTTTCTGTTAATGAAGTATAATAGAATTGATATATAAGCTAGGAATATGCCTTGGAAATAAAGTAGGTAGCACTGAAACTATGAAAACACTCATAACTTTCTGATTCATGTAATTGGTGACAAATGATACTGTATGTAGCTCATTATTTTTGAGACCTGCAGAAGGACTCCACAAAGGTGCATAGTGCCTCATAAAAAACATGTTCCAATATCATTTATCTAGCCCATAAATAATTAAAATTACTATTTCCCAAGTTAGATTACTTGGATACAGATGCTCACTATTTCTATGACTGCTCACTTTACCTAAATACTACCTTCAATCAAAATGTGTTAAACATCTTAGATACTTTTATAAGCAAATAATATGTGCCATGTACTGGCATATAGTTTTCAAAGGAATTCTTTAAATATTTCTGACCACTTGAGAAGCTTCTCTTGCTATTGGAATCACAAATAATATAGATTTCTCAGAACAATGTTAGTAAGTTCTCCATACCTCTCAACCCATGATTGTTTAAATCATACCTTCATGTTCTCTTACTTAATTCTGGGCCAAATTCCTTACCTGCAGGTATAGAAAGATATAAAGGGAGCACAAGGGAAGGAATGAGTAGATATTCGTACATGTATGAGATATGAAAAATTGTCCTACACTGTTCAGGACACTCTAGCAAAACATCGTCACCTGGATAGCTTATAAATGAATGAACTCTATTTCTCACAGTTCTGGATCCTGGGCAGCTCAAGACCAAGGGGTCAGTAGATTCAGTTGTCTGCTGAGGGCCAGCTTTCTGGTTAACAGATGGGGCCCTCTCCCTGTGTCCCCACATGGTTAAAGGAGCAAGGGAACTCTTCAGGGTCTCTTTTATAACAGCACAAATTCCATTCATGAAGGCCCTGCCCTCATGACCTAATTATCTACCAAAGGCCTTCCCTTCTGTTACCATCACATTGGTGATTAGGTTTCAACATATAAATTTTGGAGGGACACATATTCACACTACTATAAAAATGAATTGTATAATTTCAATGATTCAAAATATGAATTAAATGCTCTATGTTTGCCTTTAAAACAAGCATTGCACAATCTGAAGATTAACACCAAAATTCATGCTAATAATTTTAAAAACTAACATTTCTTTACCTAGAATGGCACTAGACAACAATAACAACAAGAGTAAAAACATCTGGACAAAGCAAGAGAGAAGCCATGGAAGAAAGGGGAAAGCTGTATGTTTAGTATCTTTAGTGGCACTCTTTTCCTGCTTTTTGAAGCACTCTGCATTTTCATTTTGTACTGAGTTCCACGAGAGACATAGTTGGTTCTGCTGTTGGATTAATACCTATAGGAGAAAAAGGGAGCAGGATTGGACCAAGGGAGAAGTCTGTGACACAGCCACACGAAGGCCTGGACCAAATAAGGCCACGAGAAACTCTGAAGCTGGTATAGATTTCCCTCAGAGGTGTTCCCAGTTGGAGTGAGAGGATCAGGCCTTCAAATTTTGTGTCTACCGGTTATCAAAGTTAGTCTGTACTGGGAAGGCAGCACTCCTAGGCCAAGGCAATTCCCAGAGAGGAAGTCAGTAGGCAAGCCATGAGCTGACATCCTCCCGAGCAGCTGGGGAACCAGTGGCTCAGTATTGAAGAAGAAAGCTGGAAAGGGCTCTATAACATCCAAAACAACACGTAGGGAGTTTGGACAGTGTATCAGGCATGACAACACTGTACTGTCCCAACTAATTTCAAGTGGCTGTTATTAATATTTTAATTGTGTGCACTTTTAGGAGAGCCCTATGACAAAGAAGGTCTCCTGCAAGACAGCTTTCATGTTGCAAGAGAATAGCCCAAAAAAAGATAAATCCAGAGGCACCTGACATTTGACAGTTTGATATTCCTAAGAGTAGGCCTCCTAAATCAAAGCTGATAAATAGCAGAATCTGAAAGTGTCTCAGATATGGCATCCTTGAAGTAGACCTAGGGGAAAGAAACTGAAAAATGAACCCTTGACTAGGGGGGAAAAAACACTTTTGTGTTTATCTGTTTTGTTTTGCCATGAGAGCCTTTATCCCAAATTGTGGTAGAGACATATAATCAAAGGTTTTACATCATAATGTATGCTCTGCTTCATCAGGTCTACAGCTTTGACGTTGCCAGGCTATCAATCCAATGGAATACAGAAAACTTATAGCTATGTCTTCATCTAAAAAGCCAAAGAAAAGAAAAGATAATAGACCATAATGCAGCAGTTCATTGGACACTCTCATTCTCTCTTCTAGGAAATGGGTACCTTCCAGAAACAACTTGCTCACTTTTAAATTAAGATTGCTAAATATTTTATTAATTTTAATGAGGTAGAGAAGATTTCTAAAATATATGCAACTTAGAAACAGCTTCTCGAATATGTTTCATTTCTTTTAGTTTGATATTAAAGCTGACTTACCTTTTCACTGCTTTCCATCAGAACAGGGCTGTGGAGGCATGATTCGTGCAAACAATGCCAGCATGCTAATTAATGGCTAGAAGCCTCAGCACACTGGTGACAGAAGCGGGGAAGAGGAACCTGCTGATTCTGATGAACATTTGGCAGCACACTGCCTCCCTTCCTATGGAACCTTGATAAAGCCCCAGCAGTAGAATCCTATACATCTGTGTCCACCCAGGCCTTGTCCTGTCCCATCTTTAGGGCTGGCTTCATGGGCCAGCAACCTGTGCAGTCACAGAGGGCCCTACACTCAGAAGAGCCCCTGATTTGGTTTAAGTTCTGCTGTCACTGTCCTCAAATTCCTTATAAATTTTAAAGAGGCCTGCATTTTAATTTAGCATGTGACCTATAGATTGTGTGGCTGGGCCTGTCCATCTTTGAAAATTTTTGATAGAGTCAAAGAGTTGAGTGGTTCTGTCCATTTTGAAAATTTTTGATAGAGTCAAAATGTTGAGACACCAATCTCAGAAGTGTTTGTCATCTGCAAGCAAAACAGCAGCCTCCTTCAGAAGACAAAATACTCTCTACAGAAAAAGAAAAAAGTGGAAAGTGGACCTGCTCTAGTAGAGGAGAGACAGAATGCTGCCCATTGGGTCTTTGATTCCATTAGCTCCTAAGTGAGGTCTACAGAGTCTCCAGAATCTGTGATACACTGGAAACCATTGCTTTAAAATTTATCCTAATGAATACAGAAAAATAAATATTGAGACAGTAGTCACTCCACTAGTCCAGCAACTGGAATTTGCACACATTTCATTAGGCAAGTTATTTGTTCTTTGGTTGTATTTTGTATTTTTTGGAAAGTATTCATTTTGTCCTTTCCCCCAAAATATGGCAAAGAAAATATATCAAAAGTATTTAGATGACTTATGAGAGTAATCAGTTAGTGATTGCTTCCTCTTTGCTATGTGTAGTGCTAAACTCTCTTTCTAATTACTGTATACCATTTAATCCTTGCAATGGTGAATCTCAGAAAAGTTTCCAGTGTGGTAGAACTAAGATATGTAGCTAAAAGGTGGCAGAGACGCTATTTTAAACCAAGACAGTTTAACTCTAAGGTCCTTGAACTAAACATCAATAAAATACTAAACTCTGTTTAAACATGCTTAAAATCTTGATTTGCTGCTGAGTATTTATAGCAAAACTAAGCGTGACTAAATAGAGATCATTACACTGAGCAAGTAGAAACAGAGTAGTTGAAAATAAGTAGGAATATGAGAGAAGTCATTAGAAAAGAAAAGAGAGTGTCATGTATGTAATGCTAAGATCTAACTCCTATACTTGGGCTTTTTGAAAGCAATTCTTATTCATTTCTGAGAGAAAAAAACAGATAAGTAAATATCTTTAGAAACTTGGTCTGGCTCCAGTGTGTGTTGGTTTTCATGAGCTGAGTGGAAGAGAAAAAGAGATTAGAAGGAAATAAAAGGATATTGAAATGTCAGTGATGAAAAAATATGAGGCAGTTCGACAACTGGACTCTTTCTATAATGCAGAAAAGTAAATTTGCATGTGAAAACTGACTTTTCAGAGTTATATAAATATTTTCTTCTGAAAAACTCCATCACCAAAAATAACTCTTCCTACTGAAATCATTATGCTTCTGGGAATTGGACAAGTCACATCACTTAGAATTCATTTCCCTGGGTTCTTTCACAGGAAAGTAATCAATTCGGTTCAAGAAAACAAACCATTTTATGGTTGGCACCATCTGCATGATCAAATGAGTCACTGAAGAATTAGTAGTCCTGCCTCTTTTTTAATAAAAGAAGAATGCAGTAGGATTAAATAGGCAAATTATATAAACAGACATTTTACAAAAGAGGAAAAACAAATAATGAACTATCATTCATTTTACTAATGCAAATGAAAATAACAATGAATTACAAAATTTTGCCTAACAAATTGGCAAAGTTTGTTTGTCTTTTATTTGTTTTTGAAAATACCCAATGATTGTAGGGCATAGACAAAAACCTATTTGCATATAAAATTGGTAGAAGAAAAACTTTAGTTCAATTTCTTATAAAAGTAATTTTCAATGAATAAAATGCCTCAAAACACTTATTCTCTTTGAATAACCAATTCTATTTCTGGAAATGTGTTGTTATAAAATAATGAGAAATAAAGCCTTAAAGAAAAATTTTGTGAAGATATTTATGTTATACTTATTAGGAAATAATTGGAGGAAAATCAAATTCTATCATTAGAAAATGGCTTAAGGAAATATGATTCATAAATAAAAGAAATAAAGTTATAAAATTATGGTCACAAAGGGTTTTTAATTAAAACTATAAATTTTCTTATAATGTAAGTGGTGAAAAATTACAATATTAATTACAGATATACTTTGATCTAAATTGTATATAAAATATGTATAGGTTTATATGTTTAATTAAGCTTTAGGAAAGTTTATATATAAATTGAAGTACACATATGTATGCATATATATGTAAAATATAATACTACGTAACAGTAAAAATGAATCACATACAACCACAGGCAACTATTATCAAACATTAAGAACATAAAACTGAGAGAAAAAAGCCAGAAAAACATTTTAATAATACTGTCATTTCAAAGCTTGTAATGCAATGTGCATATCCCATATATACACACACACACATGCATATACACATGTATGTGCATATGTGTACTTTCTATACATGAATATGTGTATATGCACATATATATTTATGACTAAATTCATCGAGAAATATAGAGATACACAAGAGTAGACAAAAATAGGACAGCATAAGAGGGCTGGTTATAATTAAAAAAAACTTTTGAGTTGTTTATAGTTTACAAAATTTTAATACTTTTTAATAAAAGGCAATTTGCACATCATCTAGTTCAAATCTTTTGTTATATAAATCAGAAAGTGAAAGTTAGAGCACAAGTAACTTCCCAAGATCATGAAGAGTTATGGGATAAAATATCTTTATTATAGAAGGAGAAAACATCTAGAATAACACAGGCTTTGGTCAATTAACTTGCTTTAAATATTATCAACCTAAATTATGGTTTTACTTTTATGATGTAAAAATGCCCCTTGCCTTTATTTTTGTATCTTCTTAGCCCTTCCATCACAGGAAAATATATTTATCAATTACACATTGTACAATTTAGCAATTGCTCACCTCAATATAAAATATAGATTTAATTTAATTTAATCCACAGTTATGGAGCATGTACTATGGACAAGGTGCCAGGCTAAATCTCTTAAACACAGAAAGAAAAATACAATTGATCTCTTAGCCCCAAAGAGATTACAATGGGAAGTTGTCACTGTCTCTATTCCTTCTGCAGATATAAAAAGCATAAGCAAGTGATATTTATGTTGAGTCAGTTTGCATCTTATCACATAATCATTATAATAATGTGAACAGTATTTATTACCTCATTTTTCTAGAATTAGATATAGTGATTCATGTACAAAAACAAGTAACTTCCCAACAATACACAGATATCAGGTAGCAAGAATAGATTTCGAACTCAGGCCTATTTGTTGTTGAAGTCTGAAGTCTTCCACTCGTCTCTGTGAACTCCTAGCTCATTCTGTTGCCAAAGAAAGAAGCTTGAGAAATCCTTTGACAGAAACACATTCTCTTTCAACTATATGCAAGTGATTAAAGTCTAGGACTCTAAGGAGGAAAACCGTATAAAACATGTCTTCTCCAGTTGTCTAAGTAAATTGGTGCCTCAAGTAAATAGGAATCAAGAGAAATAGGAAATGCCCACTGATTGTAATTTTTGCTCTATATTCCCTCAGTTAACAAACTCTATTTTTCTTTCTTGTTTCATAGCAAAAAGGTGAGTAATATGCTTCCAGACACTAATAGATTTCTTTTAGGATCCCAACTAACTTTTACAAAATTTTCTTAATGCTAGATAACATTTCAAATTTTAAAAATACAGTACTTCAAACTTTGTTTATAATCCCTCTGCCCGTCTACTGAACTCATTATTGGTATCTAAAGCAATTATGTATTTCTGTCAGTCTTATAGCAGCCAAAGTTACCAATTTAAAAGTGAAGAATATTAAACAAATTAGGTGGCATTATGTAGAATCATCCAGCCTACAAGTAAAGGATTCTTATTAAATTCAATTATTTTTAAATAAATGAATAATAATAATTCAACTTTTTTAAAAAAAATAAACGAATGAGCTGTGTCATCTTAGATTATACACAAGAAGTGAGATGTAATCATTTTATAAACAACAATTATCAAAAACTTCTAAAGCTTTTCTACACCATGATTTTTCTACACTGGGATAAGAATAAACAGTCAATTATAAACATACACACACACACACACACACTCATAGGGTTGAATTAGCAGATAAATATTCATTTGGATTGAAATACAGAAACCAAAAAATTAACAATTCTGCACTTTTCTAACTGCTGTGCATGCCTGGAAAACAGGTGTTAAGAGTTTGTAATTCTAGTAATCAAGGAAGGACACAAATTTGAGAGAATAATTGCTGTTTTTAAATATTTATTTAGAAGCACTTACTCTTTCTCTTCATGATTTCTCATTCTACAGCCCAGATTGTAAGACAATTGGCCACTATTTTAGCTGCTCTTTACAAAGAAGTTAGCATCTTCCAATCTTATCAGCACAGAAGATCCAAGTAGAATAGAACTCTGCCAGATATTAAATATTTCATTTGTAGAATATAAATTCTTACCCAAAAAGCTATAGCCAATATCACACTTCTTAATGTCGTAAAGAACATTATCTGACTTGACTTTTCACCAATATAGTAGTCTTCATCACATATAAAAGCAAATTAAATTACTTTGAATACAAAGCTGTGTGCTGTGTTTGATTCATTAAAGAGGATGAGCGTGCCAACTGTTTATCTAATAAATCAAAAAGTATAATATTTGTGTTACTGCTGTTATAATTTGGTTCTGTATGTACTGTTTTGTAAGTTTTTTTTAAGACCTCAAAAACTTGAGCTATGAATAGCTTCACATTGAAGAAAAACAGGTGTACATCACAGGAAATCATGGCAGGATCCCAGTCTTGATGAACACATCATG